CGCTGGTGGAGCCAGCTGTCGGTGTCGGTCCAGCAGGCCGTCGCCAGCACGGCCTTGGGCTGTTCCTGGCCTATGCCCCACCCCAGCCAGCGGGTTGGTCCTGACCTGGACCAAGTCCTGCACCTCGCTGAAGCGCCGGGCCCCAGCAGGCTGCCGCTGCGCTGACGGCGCTGCCGCGCCTTCGGCGACTGCGGCTTTTAGCCGCTAGGGACACACACATTGCAGCGGAGGAAAAAGGTACTCCCGCTCACACCATGCCTCTGCGGGAGCGCCCTGGAACTTGGGTATGGCCGCCGCGCTGATGCTTAGCAACGGGACCTAACAGCGCGGGCCAATAAGCGTGGCGATCTTGCCCAGATCGGCCCTCGGCTCGGACTTTGCTGGCGGTGGCCTGTGCAGCCCATGGCGGCGGCCGGCACAACATTTTTTTTTCCGTCGGACCTTTTTCCACCGTCAAACACCGTCACCGAGCCTACGGCCTACCTACATCTACCTACGGCGACGGGCGGGCAGGGATGCGGTGTGGCCCGGCTTGCCATCGGGCGTCAGCGAGGAGCTCGTGCAGAGCCGGGGCCGGTCCGGCAGCACAGGGCTCCGTCTGCAGTGGCAGCTCCAGAACGTAGCTGCAAGCTCGTTGCGCAGCAACCGCGATGAGGCCACTCCACCGAAGCACCCACGCGACCTGTGCGGCGGGACGGAGCGCAGCCGGCGTAGCGGAGGCGCGTGCACGCGCGAGGAGGCGAAGGAACGAGGTGGCTTCGGCGTCCCAGCGCCCACCAACTTCGAGTCCAAACACAACCAAGCGGCATCGCCTGCCGCGGTCAAGCTCAGGGTAAGTCTGCCTGCGCTTGCGCTTGGCAGCAGCACGCGCAGCGACGCCCGGCTGGGTTTCAGTGCCACGGTGCGGTCGTCCGTCCCGGGAAACGGGGCTGACCAGGGTGGCATCGACTGCGAGCTGGGCTCCGTGCCACAGCGGTAGGCCGTTGCAAACGACCTCAATGCGCCGGACATCTTGCCCGACGCACCGCTTCCACTAGCAGCCGCATGCCTCATGCCAGGGCCACGGGTCACGGCTTACCGCCATACAGTACCCTGCCATTGCCAGCTGCCTCCCGTGAAGGCTTGCGAGCCTCGCCGTTGCGCTTCACTGGGAGGAAAAACAAAAATGCCAGAGCTCATGCGAAATACCAGCCCGGCCAGCGTTGCTCTTGGCTCTTTGTGCCCTTGCTGCATGCGGGCGCCGGCCACGTACGAGAGCGGCCGAGCAAGCCTGGCAGGAAGGACCGGGCTTCGAGACGCGCTTTGCAGAGCTCGCTGCTGCCCTGCGCCGTGCTCCCCGGAGTGCCGCCAGCCACGCTCCTACGCTTCCTTCGCGCGGCCGCGGATTGCGCCAACGAGGTTGGCACATTGGCCGCGGAGCCGGATGGGCTCGAGCCAGCAACAGCGCAGCTATCCATGCTTCCTTCGGACGCCCCATTGCCGGTCTCGGCAGCGGTGCTGGTGTGCACGGCGCCCGGCGGCTACCTCTCCGCGCCCGCTCAGTCCGCCTTGCTCGAGGCCTAACTCGAGGCTTACGGTGGCGGCGCGCTCGCAGCCGCAGCCCAACCGTTGGCAGACGACATTCGCGCCACGTTCGAGCCCCTGCGCAGCCCCGCCGCCCACCGACGCCGTAGACCGAGACGATCGCGCCGCCGCCGGCAGGCTGACCATCAGAACGGCGACGCCGGTCCTGCAGACATCGACTCGGACGATGCTGTCCCCACATGCCCGCCGCCCGCCGCATTGACGAGTGACGCAGCCTGGGAAGCCCTTGACGAAGTCGAACTTTGCGAGGAGCTTCGCAACCCCGCACTGCCCCCCTTCATGCGAGCGGCAGTCCGCCACGCGTTGACGTCAGCGCTGACACGCCCGCGCGGCACACGCGGCCGGTCAGGGCACTGGCCCGAACGCTTCCAGAGCATGGAAACGGTCCCTGCTCGCCCCGCGCATGCTGCTGGCACGCCCGGAGCAACAAGGCTCGCAAGGCCGGGCTACGCTCCTCGCGCGGGCTGCGGCGTTCCAACCAGGCGAATGCGACAGCTTCTGGCCGCCGCACGGCCCGGACCACGGGCTCGCGACCGCGCGCTGCCCCCGTCCGAGTCCCGAAGGTACGCCGACGCGCACGACGCAGCCATCTGGGAAACGTTGCAGGCTTGTCTTGGAGGAGAGCCCCTTGACGATGCGCCCGGTGCTCGGCGGACTCGGCCTACAATCCGCGCAACGCACAGCCCCGGCCGCGTACTGGGCCGCGTGGGCAGACGCGCTGCCTCGCGCTGCCAGTCATGCGAGCTCGCGCGCCCGACTTGGCAGCCCGGTGCCGGGAGGCTCTGGAGGGGGGAGCGGGCCGAAACGCCGCGGGTCTGCGCGAGGCGGTAGAAGCAGGGACGCCGTTGCGTGAGGCAGGCTGGCAGACATGCCCCACGTGGAGCGCCCTGTTGAAAGGGGCGCTCCCGCCCCCAGCCGACGACGCAGGGCCCGGAGACTGGCCGCATGGATGGCAGATGCGCGCGACGCGAACTCTCAACACGCACTTCCGCGAGCGCACGCTTCTGCCAGACATGCCACCCAGTTCCCAGGCACTTTTACGATCCCAGGCAGGACCGCAGGCAGGAGCATGGCTCGCTGCGATCCCCACAGAGCCGACGGCGATGCAGCTCGCTTTGAGTTCGGCGACCACGCACTTGCGTGCCCGCGCACTGGACTCCTCGCCAGGCGGGCCAAGATCGTGGAGCGAGCCTGGGTGCAGGTCGCCCGGGAAGCGGTGGGATGCGGTGGGGTCGGAAGGCCAAGTCGTTCCGCAGCAGTGGCTGGCCAACACCACCGCCCCGCAAGTCGGAGCGCAGGACCGTCGCAGACTCGACCTCGTCGTGTACGGGGCGCTGCGCAGCGGAGAAGCGCAATGCTGCGACGCACGCTGGTTTCCCCGCTCACGCGATCGGGGGCACCCGCAGCCATGCGCAACGGCCGTGGATGGGGCTGTGCTGCTGAGCGCCGCAAGCACGCCGCGTAATGCCGCGTACCCAGAGCTCACGCGAGGGGGGCCGCAAACGCTCGTCGTGCTCGGCTCCGAGGTGGGCGGCCGCTGGAACGCCCAGGCCCGAGGCTTCGTGCGAGACCTGGTGCGTCTCAAGGCGTACCGCGCCCCCCTCCCCGTGCGCGCGGCAGCGACAGCGGCTTGGGCGAGGCGTTGGTGGAGCATGTTTTCCGTCGCGGTGCAGCAGGCAGTCGCCAGTACGGCTCTGGGAGGTGCCTGGCGGCAGCCGCTGCAACCTGAGGCTGGCGAGGGCCGGCCACTCGACAGCGTCATCCACCACGCTGCCCCTGAAGGCCAGAGTCGCCTGCCCCTGCGGCCGCAGCGAAGGGACACCTTCAGGCAGGCGGAAAAAAAGGTGCGAGTAAAAAAAATACCAGCCCTGTGCAGTCGCAGTGCAGGAAGGGTGCGGCATAGCTTGATGCGCACCGAGCAGGAGCTTCTGAGCCAACTGCCGCAGTGTGCGTGGCTCCTCCTCGCCATGTGCGCATCGCCACGGGCCAACCACGCGTTGCCCGCAGAGTGCCACCACTTGACGTAGCAGGCGATGCCCAGGCCCATGACGACTTGGCGAGCGCGCCCCAGCTTTAGCCTTGCGTCCGCCAGCGCACGCTGCTACCAGCCTTGCCGCCGAGCGTCTGCGCGTGGGCCGCACGCGGGCTCCTGGTTAACCATTCCAGCGTAGCCCGCCACCACACTGCCCCCACCTGCAATGCAGCTCGCCTTGCGCCGCCGTCTGCGCCTCCCACTCCCCCTTCGATTAAGTCGGTGTGGCCCCCCTCCCGGTTGCGGCGAGCTCGTCGACACGTTCGGCGATCATGCCTTGGCCTGCCCTCGCATAGGGCTGTTGGCTCGGCGACGTCGAACGGGCATGGGTGAGGATCGCACGCGAAGCTGTTGGCGCCGACGGTTAGGTAGTCCCGCAGCAAAGGCTTTGCAACACCACTGCTCCTGGCGTTTCCCCAGGCGACAGACGCCGCCTCGACTTGGTGATCTACGGAGCAACGCCTATGGGTGGAGCGCTGTGCTGCGATGCGACCCTGGTGTCGCCGCTCACCCGCACGGGCCAGCCCCAACCGTGTGCTGCCGCGCACGACGGCGCCATGCTGCGGTGGCCGAGCGGTGACAGCGAACCGCCATCAGCGCGGGCGGGCCGCAGCGGCTCCTCGTCTTCGGTTCCGAAATAGGAGGGCGCTGGCTTTCTTAAGAAAAACCTAGAAAATTGACCAAGAGAAAAAAGGAAAGACACCCCCAAAAGAAAGACCCCCAACAAATTCGAAACAAAACAGCTGCTCCGCAGGGACACACCAAAAAGAAACCGCAGTGACAACAACAAAAAAGCGTGTCCTGCAGCAACAGCAAAACAAAACCCCGCAGCGACAACAAAAAAACAAAAGCGCCCCGTGCCTCACAGCGACGGCAACAAGTAACGCCCCGCAGCAACAGCGCAAGAAAACGCCAGCTCCGCAGCGACAGCAACAAAAACCCGCGCGACAACACAAAAGCAGCGACAACAAAAATCATTCTTACCGATGCCGTAGGGAGTCTGCCACATCTTTTGTCAAGATGGCGACGTCAGGAGCCTGGACTTGAACCACGATTTGAACCTCTCAATGAACAGAGATTCGCGGCGCCTGAGCCCCAAGCAGCACGGAGGGAATCTTGCCGCCCCAGTAGGTAGGCAACGACAATTGGATTCATTAGATATAATTGGTGTGTTGCTTTCAGGAGAACGATCATGGAGTGGCAGCTGTTCCTCTTAAGTAGCTTTCGGGAGAAGCTGGCAACATACCACACCGGGATTGCTTGAGATTCGCATTGAAGAAGTGCTAGGCCAACGAAGGAGCAAAAGACATGTTTACTCCGAGCGCCATCATCGATCGAGAATGATCGAGACTACTTCAAGCGGTGCGAAACATGAAGACGCACCATGAAGCTGAAGGTATGGCATGTTTTGCTGCGCCATGTGTTCTTTGCTTGCCGGTGCGCGGCCACCGTGCCAGCGTGTGGAATATTCCGGCATTATGACGACAACCATCCTGTATCATATGGCGTGCAACTACCCATGGGTAGAGCACCATTCGCTTTTGCAATGGCCCACTCCGAGGACTTGACAGACTATTTGTTGCATGATTCATCTGGACCTTTTGAAGTTGACCCAGCACGATTTGCAAGTTTGCAACAGGATTGGGGCTTTGAAGAGGACAGCATCAACGAAGAACTTGAAAACATTTTGAAAGCAGATTGGCATGCCGACAGCTTTTGGGGAGCTGGCTATGATCAGGTATTCGTACCACGCACTGACGAATTCTTGCCTGCAAGGCCGGCACCTTTTCGAGTTCAAGCTTTCCTCGACGCTTTCCGGCAGGCCTCATCCAAGTGTTGGGTTCGCTTGGCACAAGCTCTGCGAGCACATGAGCTGAAAGCGGACAACGCGGACTTGCAGGAATGCCTGGGTGTGTTCCGCCATTGTATTCAAGACAATGCGCACTTTGCAGGTGTGGAGGCACAAGTTTGGCAGGGTGGCGACTTGATCATGGACTCCCACACAGACGGCGCAACAGCTCTGTTACACTTGGGCGTTACGCTCGGTGGAGCTCGAACTCTCAGGGTCGGCCGTTTTCGGGAGAGACATTCTCCGTACAGACCGCAAGAGAACCGGCGAAGGGGCGTGCGATCTGGTGATGAGATCAGCGTGTGGAACCGAGAAGCATATGATAGGCAAGAGTTGTGGGACATTGAACAGTCCCGTGGAAGTTTTTATCTAACTTCTCCATTTTGCTTTGAGCATGGCGTGAAATATGGCAGAGACGTGTCCAGCCCGACATTGGCTTTGCAGCGCCTTGGCCGGCCTTGACTTGATGCAGAGGCAAAGGTAAGGTAGGGATGAGCTGGGTTTTCGGCAAGTGTTTAGCCAAGGTGCCGGTTTGCTTTTTCGAACTATTCGGCCGCACAGCTTGTGAATGGCCAACGTACAAATACAATGCGAGGCTTGCCAAGATTGCCTGGCTTTGCTTTCGCGTGCTTATTTGCCTGGCCATTTGTCGTCATTTGTTTTTTTGAAAAGTAGCATCGCAACATATCGCAACTTTTTTGTGGGTTGCGCGTGCCCGCAGTCCAGGAGAGGTGGCCCAGGTGATCGCCCATTCCCTTGCAGATGCGATCAATGGACAAGAACTCCGACTACCGACCGTCCAAGAGCAATTTGGTCGGAAAAAAATCTCCTGTGGCATGTGATAATACATATAGTGGAAAGATCGCTGTCTGACAACACGCGGCGTGATGCAACTCAGGGTGCAAGCAGCGGCTGCGCAGATTTCCATTGCCAAGCAGTGCCGCAAAGCTGCCATCCAGCAAATCAGAAAGGACAATGTTGCGGCTGTTGTGGTGCCATGCACCAGTAGTCACCAGTAACAGGGCCAAATGTCACATGATGTCACATGTGGCCAACATGAGGCACAGAGCTCTTCCAGCAGCTGGCCCTCTCATGCGGCAAGATGTGTATCCAACAAGGATTGGGGCGTGGCAGCTCGATTGCAAAAGGACACTTTGTTTGTTGCTGTGGCAGTTCTGCAATTGAATGTGTGCGAGCATGAGTTTTGAATAGGAACTCAAACTTACTCTGACGAACAAATCGCTTGACAAGGGAATGGAAGAACTGGAAGAACGCAAAAGGAAGGAACGACACCGGCAGCCCTTTTCGTTTTCATCTCTGCTCTATATTCGCTCTGTTCAGTAAAGTGTGTGTGCGCGTGTGTGTGTGCCGGTTTCTTTTACTTTGGGTTGCGTGCATGCCGACCTACACCAACACAACATATGGATACATATGATACGTATTGTAAATGCAGATTTGTCGTTTCGCTTGTTTTTGCGAGTCTCAAGAGAAACTGGCTACCCTTGCGCGCCAACATGAATCTCAAACATGAGGTGCAGGCTGCTTGTTCCTTGAGTCACAGACGGGCCCGTTACCGTTGCCCCTACAGTCTTGCAGTTTGTCTTCTCGTTCACCCGGTTGAAAGCTTGATATGGAAGAGTTCGGAATGCCAGCTGCAGGTTTGGAGCGCTGGTGCAGCGATGGTGCTGGGGTCATGGCGCTTCAGTCGCATGCGTTCCGCCCTTCATGCCGCCGGTGCAGTGAGAAAAAGCTCGTCCTATAAACGAGGCAGAGTGCATAATCAGGGCTGTGTGGGGCGTGTCAAATACAGTGTCAAATGAATCGCTGCATTTGCCGCCGTTTCCAGATCAGCTTAGTTGCAGAGCGCGTGCCCATGCGTGCCCAGCTATGCTGAGACAGGCAGGCGAGGTGGCTTGCTTTCACCCAGTTTGTATTCTTGGATGACGCAGGCATCGGACGACGGTTCTACTGACTCCGATAGCTCTTCCTCTTCGTCTTCCTCATCTTCATGTTCCAAGGACTCAGAAGTGACGTTCCATCCGGCGATGTTATAGTGATTATTCAGCGCTGGTGGTCCGTGATGACGCATAGGGTAGACGATGATGAGCGATTTTCTTCAGAGATGTTCAGAGACAATGCGAGGAGCACGCAGCATCTTCAGCCTGTCTAGAACGTGCGGGTGGCCAAGGTCGGTTGTGCTCTGACTGCAACCCTATGCGGTCAGACCGTTATCTAAGTTGACCAGGTGCTGGCAAGGACACCAATGCCGCCAGTCACAACCCCTCAAAAGGCAAGGGCCGCATGGAGGCACTTGCCGGCACAATAACTGGACAGTGAGACTTACCGAGTCTGCGAGAGAGAGAGAGAGAGAGAGACTTACTGGAAAAATGTTGAGTGTCACTACATGTATGTGCACTAGAGAAGTCAGGGAAAAGATGATGACTCCTCCAGCAGTGAGAGCACGTCCTCTGAAAGCAGCTCTGCCGACCAACAGGACACGACTTGGCACTAGCTTTTGAGCAGCAGCCTAACTAACTGGCCCTGCCTGGACCTGGACAGTCTAGCAGATTTGATGGTGTGGTAACACGCTCCTGCTTGTGTTCTTGTGGCGGGACCGCCTGGGGACTTGAGCTGTTTACCTTGAACCAGCAGCATGGCTTGTCAGGAGATGTCCGAGGCATCTGACCTCGATGGCGAAGAAGAAGTGGATCGAGAAATAGAGGTCCTAGGAGCTTACTTTTGCTGCACACTGGTGGACGTTGGTTCGTGTACTGGCGATGCCAAAGCCCGCAGGTGTGCACACGAGTGAGCATCATCAAATCAAACCCTTCCAGGAGCACCTGGACTCAAGGATTTGATCATCAGCCAGGACTAACTCTCCCTACGGTAACCCCACATATTTTCTCCTGAGAAAATACGCAGGTTTTACAATGTGTCACATTGTTTCACATTGCTGACCCAGACTGGATCAATGCATAGGAGCCGGCTCCCGTGGATCCTTGCTACTCTGGAAACTGGGCTGGAGCTCCTGAAGTCGGCTCGCCAGGTCTGGCTATGACTGCACGTGAAAACGACGATTTCAGCAGCTTGTGAAGATGTCCCACTGCAGGTTTCAATCGCTTCGCCGCGGCTCGACTGCACTTGAAAATCTTGTGTGCGCCATTTCGTTCCAAAGTTCTGCAGCGGCGGAAGCGCTCCATGGTGCAGTTGCCTTTTTCGAGCAAGGGGCACAAGGAATGGGGCACCAAGGCAGCTGTGTGTGAATTGTCTGCCAGGCACGCGTGATGTGGAATGCAAAAGTTGGCCGGAAGTTGAAGCCAGCTGCCACATGTGCCAAAGGTTGGGGGCACTGCATCACGTGCTCCAGATCTCGAAGAATTACAAGTATTGTCAGATATTGTGCGAGAGGCCAGTGCCCACCTCTCCAGCCGCATCAAGAGGCCAAAGTTAGAGCCGCAACTTTGGGGCGAAGGAGAGTTATTGAACATGAGGCCGTTGCATTCATGCTGCATCCGCAATCGCCAATCTCCCGCATGCCGGGGACTCATGGAAACCTGTCTTTAGTGCCCCAAAAGTTCCAGCTCAGATCGCACCAAAAAACATTCTATTGTTGCTTTTCCAATTTAGGGCCGAGATCTCAGGCTTGTGGACCATCCTACTGGATCAGGCACCAAGTGTGCACTCTTCGCATGGGATTCAGTTCCTTGCGAGATCTTGCGAGGCAAGACTCGCGAGATGATTTGCGTGTTGGACAACTACTACCTGGACCCACGACCGAAGGTGCCGATTTTTCCCAAGGACGCTGTGCTCAGTCGCGATCAGTTGCGCATCTGGAAAGTTGAAACTCCTATGGCATACCCAGGAGCCAGTCTGCCGCAACTTTTACATGGAACTGCTTCGATGGCCCAGTCGGTGCTTCTGGCTAATGGCTAAGGGCGTGTCAGTGCAGTCCATGCCTTTTTGCATCTTTTTGTTGTTCACGGCAGGTACCGGGATTTCTTTTCCTGCTTGAGGACGAGCTGCCAAGCAAGGGGAAACCATGATCTCACAAGTGGTTAGCTATTCGCCTTCAGGCCTCAGGATGCGGCCAAAGCTAGTGGCTGTGCAGATTGGCGCTCTCGGCGGCAGCTTCGCTGGGACCTGGCACCCTGACGCAGGGATGCGCAGGGCGGTATAGGGCGGTCAGCATCGTTACTGCATGCTCATGTTAGTTGCCGTAGAGCTGCCGCAATCTTCACTGATCTCAAAGATTCCACCGAGGACCTGTCAGGAGTCATTCTGCACGAGCTCTGCTGCAACATACGGGAGGTGCTGGAAATGAAAGGATGGCCCCTCGGAGCCAGAGTCAGCCACAAGTCGATGGCGCGAAATCAAGCTGCTGCACTCGCTCCAGGTTCTTCATGGGGAGAATGAGGCGGTCACGCAGGGAGGTCTGCTATCGGCACCTGCTGCCTGAAAAGCCGCAGCATCAAAGCTGTCAGTTGCCTGGCGAAGGCATTTCGCCATCGCTTTCCCGAAGAAACTGCCCCTGCTGCACCCCTGCGAGCTTTGCGCTATACATCTGCTGGGGGTCGCCACGTCCGGACCTGAGCAAGCAAATGCTCAACCTTCGTGTGCATACCAAGAGAGAATGGAATGCCTTTGCATTTAGGTTTTTTCGGCTTTTGTTGATAGAACCCGTCATGCGAGCATTTTGTTTGCGTAGCGCGGGCACGCCGGCTTTCTGTACAGAGCACCGTTCAAGCCCGCATGAAGCGCTTCCAAACCATTACAGCGTGTGTTGCGCTGGCAAATTGCTCCCCACCACACCCTTGCCAGCCAAGCATCATCCTGTCCAGGGGAACTGCTTCAAAACCCATATGATGAACCCTTGGACTTTGACGGACGCAAGTCCGCTTCAACCCCAAATCCGAAAAGGAGTGACGAACTCTAGGAACAACAGTTGAAGACACTTGAAGCGGTCGCCAGCCGCCGGGGCTGCACATCTGAACGCGTGGACATGCTGTGTCGGCACCCAAACCAAACGATGTCATAGCATTACAGCAAGTGGATGCCTGAGATATGCTCAAGCTTCCAACCCGAACACGGCATAACATGGCGAAACACTGTGACGTGAGGAGTTGCAGCATCCGAGCACCTCCCAATGGCACGATGTAGTACCGAGCACCCCAAAATACGTTAGTTTTTCGACGACGAACCACAAAAATAAAAATCGCAAAATCATAAGAAACATTTCGCCGCCGTTTTGTGGTTGGCGGAGTTGCCAGGCGGACCTGCGGCCGGATTCGTGGATGCAGAAGCATTTGGAGAAATCGTGCTCTTGGCACATCATGCAGTCTAGGTATCTCAAATTCACTCGAGGTTGGACAAGCAATGTGCCCTGACTTGTCATGACAATCGAAGGATGGCTGGCCCGCGAGCGCTTTGCTGAAGGTTGCCTTCGATCGTGCACAAGCCGGTTCCAATGCTTACTCGAACAAGGTGGCTTTTTATGAGGCTTTCACAGTTGATGTGAATACACTCTGAGCTGCAAAAGTGGAGGTCGTTATCATGGATGAGGCCCCCACAGTGTGCAACCAAAGTCATGCGAAGTCCTATAGCCTGCCATGGAGCATGAGTCAGAGGTCCACAACCTGGTTCGGCTTCAGACCCAGTACTCCGAGCAGCTTGCACGACTCAGCATCTTGGCAAAAGGAGGATGCAGTTGCACATATTCTCTTCGCATTGCCACAAGGAAACCTCCTGTCCACCGCACGTGGCACTGTCTTGGTGGGCTTCACCGGCACGCCTATCCTGAACGAGGTGCCAGTCAATGGTGTGCTATACGTTATGGTGTGCTATACGTTTCATGCCCGCTTTGCAGATTTCATGTCAATTTAAGTCCGCCGGATGGGTTTTACTAGGCGGCCACCGAACCGAAACGGTTTTCCGAGTTCAGCTGGTAATCCACAGAGGAAAACTGATGGAGATGCACAATCGAAGCATTTGTGAGGATGTTTCAGTGCCGTCCGTAAAATGCCCGAGACATTGAGCAAACTCATGTCGTTGAACCACAGCCCAATGACAGACAAGCCCCTTCAACTCACTTGCTACTGCCCATTCAACTTTAGCTCGAGTTCCTACCGATAACGATAGACAATGACAGACATCTGTCGGTGTCATTTCGGCACGTGGCTTTCCGCTCTGCCACACGACCCTCAGGCAAGCGAAGGGCGCCAGCTGCTGGACCCGCGGAGCTTCATTATGAGAGCTGTTTTTCCGTAATTTTGGGTGACCTGTTTCCCCTAATTATGGCGGCCTTTGCAAAGGTGTCGATCAGGGGCCTTTTGCATGTTGGAAACGCACGACCTTTGCAAGCTCAGGACATTGTCAAGGGTGCATTCGCTCCTCGAGGCGACAGTGGCTTCCTGTCTTCCTTTCCTATGCGCCCAGTTTCTCGGTGTAGCATGGAGATCATGGAGTGCACCTGTCCGTTAAGTGCGAACGGCCGTGACTCAAAGGTTGGCCTATTTCCGAATCTTGGCTTAAATTTCAGGTATGGTGCAGGAGCATAAATTTGTCTTGGTTATGTGCCAGGCTTCTCGCAAGCTACTAGCCTCTTCATCGTGAGCTCACCTGCAAAGTGTGCTTGTGTTAACAGCTGCTAGCAACTGCCAGGACATCCCTTCCCCGTGGCATCCCCGGCTGGTTTTTTTCCATGCCCTGTTGTTATGTCGCGACACATGCAGACAGCGCACGCGCGCCTTGGAACACTTTTGGGGCAGGTGCTCACCTGTGTCAGCAGCGGGAATCCCATGAGAAGCTCTCAGGCTCCCCAAGACTGGCAGAGTAATGGCGACGACCAGCAACAACACAACCAAGCGAGCACACACCTTAGAAACAAGTAACTGGTCAACAAACTGCATCGCTGCAAGCATCGTAAAGTGCATGGCATGGAGTGTTTCTCGCAATGCTGGTGCTTGGCATCGTATGTCATTGCGAGAGACCTCAACGCATTGAAAAGCCATTTTGACCTCCTAAGGCTAGCAATCGCCCTTGACTCCGTGACTGCCAGACCGAGTACTATTCAAGCAGTGTTGAAGCAACAGAGTCTGCCTATGCACCGGTGATCTGTGGCCATAGAAAAAACTGTTGGATCCATGTCCGGAATGACAGAGTTGCCAGGTGTACCGGATGCCATCCTTACACCAAAGCTGCGGCGCCAGTTGGTTCACAAGGTTGTGGAGACTTGGGGAGACGTAGGACGCTGAGACATCCTTCAGCTCAGTACCGATGCCACCAGGTCGTGCTATCCGCGGAGGCCTTGAAGCGTTATGATGCGAAGCGAATGAGGCTTGCCAAAGCTTTCTGCCACAGCACAAGTTCAAGAGTTCTGCTGACCATACAGAGCTTGGAGGATGCCAGATGCCATTGTTTCAAGTTGTTCCAGAACGCACACGCTCAGGAAGGGTCTACCGGAAAAACGACTCAGAGCATTTTGCAATCTTTGTGAGCCTGGGTTGGCATTTTGACACTCCTGCGTCTAGGGCAAGGAGCCGGTAGGAGCTTGGCTTTGCTGATTTTTGCCCGGCTGGAAGCGGCCTTTGCTGAGGGTCTGCTCTGAGGTGCACTTCGGAAGCCTGCACGATGGGCGAAGTGGTAGCAAGGACTGACGCATTCACTGACGCATTCAATACGCAGTCATGCAGAACTGCCGAGCAGACTTGCAATCTTGATCAGTTCGAGGCTCGCATCCTTGCCAACATGGAGATCTGCGCTCCGAAGTTGTTTGCCATTGCCGAAAGCATTTCGCAGCATGCTGAGAAGGCTGGAACTAAGTTGGAACACGATGGTGATCTTTAGCTTAATATAATGGAACATGATTGCTTGCGACTGCATGCCTGAACAGGCCCTGGTGCTGGTCGCACACAGCTCAGGACTGAAAGCGCTCGTTGAGCACTTGCAGGCACGCAGCCTCTGCTGCCCTGCTCAGCTTTAGAAGACGTGGGAAAAGTATTCCCAGCGCTGGACATGGGATTCGCAAGGAGAGGGCCCGTGGAAGCAACTTTGGCATTGCAACAATGGAGGAGCTTGCAGAGCTTGGCCCTCGGCACTGAAGATGTGACGAGTAGTATGGAGTAGTCAGAGTAGTCCCCATGCTTGAAGCCTTCAAGCGAGCAGTGCGCCTTCAAAAGGTTCAATTCCCCGGCGAACTTAAGAGGAGAACGCTTTCGCGTTGACCTTGGATATTGAAGAACTTGAGAGACAAAGTAGTCAATATCAGTTTGTTTGTCTGCATCCTTCCAAACACTGTCAAGAACTGCAGGTGTACTGGTTGCGGATGCGGCGCAATGCTCCGAGGGGGTCAGCTTTATGGCGGTTCGAAAGCTTCACCTGGCTGATGTGCCGGCACTCTGACTTCTTCTTAACCCTGATGCAGATGACTTGTGGATGTTTTTGGGTGCTCTGTGAGCTGAGGCATCTCCTAGTGCCTTTGTACAGTCCGTGGGGAGAGCGATACGCGGCGGAGAAGCACATAGAGCAATTTCACGCAACTGCAGTCCTGAACTGCTCTGACTTTCCACGGCTCCCGCTTCCTGTCTCAAGGAATGTACGGGCATTCAGCCTTGCCTGACAATGAGCAGACCGTGACTGTCCAACTGTGGGTTGCAGTATTCCCTCGCTGGATGCGCTCGCCGCTGGCTGCCTGGAGCTTTCGCGCCCAAAAGCGGCGTGATGCCGGAGTCCATTGATGTTAACTAGCCAGGGTTGTCCATGTCGATTGGTCATGCGTCACATGTCCGTGGCTTGCCCTTAGTCAGCATAACTGCAGCACAGCGCACTTTAAATTAAGGACATGGCGTGTGGTGCTCGGCACTTGCTCCGACGATTGCTTGCTGCTGGCATGACGGATCTGGAAGCGCTGAAACTGCGCCCCTGGACAAATGCTATTGAGTAAGCGATTTTTCTATGGGCTGTGCCATCTACCGCACGGGTATATGCCTTTTTCCGCCCTTTCCACACCATTGCACGCCAAAGCAAGTCGGTACACTGTGGAGACATGCACTAGCGCACTGCCGTTTCAATGTTGTCGGGTATCTACAGCCTTCTCTCACGAAGTGGCCTTGTTTGAACGATTGAATGGGCCCCGAGCGCTTGTTTGCGCTCCAGGGCAACCCAAGAGCCTGCATGGCGTTGTAAGCAGCTGAGTGCAGGCGATCTGCCTCTCGAGTCCAACGAAGTTGTTTTAAGCTAGCGGAAGCGCCCTGACAAGCCAATGCGCCCTGGGCCCATGACAACCCTGACAACCCCCTCACAAAATTTCACGAATCATATAACATTTTCGAATATGTCACATGCAGGGCGGAGTGCTCTTTCGCGCTAAATAGGAGCCCATGGGGTCCTCCAGCAGATTTCAAGGTGTTGCCCGACATAGATGGCCATCGCTAGTCCGGGAAGCTCGCCAAAACATCCTCCATTCCTAAGTGAACTGTTTTGGTTGTCGTATCGCAAGTCACTGCGCAGAAACATTGGAGGAAGTCGACCGAAACTGCGTCTCATTGTGGTGAAGCATTTTTTGTGCTGGAATCGACGTTTCCGTCAGTCGGCTGGATGTTTGTTCATGGTGGGAGCGCCCCTTACGCGACGGGCGCGTTCCATTCGTTTTGGCGATTCTGGTTGATTCTTGGGTTGGGTTGGGGGGGGGGGGGGTGGTTACGTGCTTTTCGAGAGCACAGGGGTTCATGTTCTAGGTTTCGGGTGCACGGTTTGGGGCTTTGGTTTCGCCTGAACCCTAAATGCCGTTAAGCCAGCTGAAGCCGCCACCTTGGCTCAGCCTGGCTGGAACCAGGGTTTAGGGTTTGGGGTTTAGGGTTTAGGGTTTAGGGTTTAGGGTTTAGGGCAAAACGCACATGTCTGCTTAAGAATTGCTATGTTGCAGGGGCCGAAAGTGTGTAACAGTGTCTATTTTCGAGCGACCATGACGTTCCCGCCTAGGCAAAAAGCACATTTTGCCGCGGACGGTCTGAGAAACTTTGTTCAGCTGCACTTGTTGGCAGCTTGGCACAGCTTGGAGAGAGCTCTGAACACATCTGAGTGCATTCGTCGGAACTGAAACTGTCTTATGTACTTCCAGATGCGATCTGCATTCGCTTCGCGATGGCATCCGTCGCTCTTTTTGTTATGCATCCCCTTGGGGATGCTTGCCTTGACATAATGCAGATAGTATGCAGATCGCATCTGGAAGTACATAAGACAGTTTCAGTTCCGACGAATGCACTCAGATGTGTTCAGAGCTCTCTCCAAGCTGTGCCAAGCTGCCAACAAGTGCAGCTGAACAAAGTTTCTCAGACGGTCCGCGGCAAAATGTGCTTTTTGCCTAGGCGGGAACGTCATGGTCGCTCGAAAATAGACACTGTTACACACTTTCGGCCCCTGCAACATAGCAATTCTTAAGCAGACATGTGCGTTTTGCCTGGGTTTCAGCACATTCCACATTCTGGCCATGCCAACAAACACACGTCGCGCTACAGGCGCTCCTACCTTCATCATGTGTAGTACAAGCTTAGTACTGGAAGCACGTTTCTATGGGCCGGCTGGATTTTCATTGCTTTGTCCTCTGTAGTGCAAGCTTAGTACCGGACGGAATCGACGTTTCTGTGAAATGGCTGGGTTTTCATTGGCCATCGGCTGTTTGGTAATGCTTGAACAAACCTATCAAAATTGCTTTCGTTGGGGCGGAGGTCCTGCAGCAAACGCTTCTGAAAATGTTTGTTGGCATCATAGGCTAAGCGTTCCTTGAGGATTCTTATATTTTCACAACAACGTGCACTGGGGGGGGAAGGGATCCCACGGTCGTCTGCTGTGTCGGTTTCCCAGTGCAACATTTGAGGTCTAGACCGTTGCGGTGGTCATGGTGGCCCTGCCACAACCCGACCTCCGCTGTCATTGCCAGCAGCTGCGGCATTCTTGGAACAGCTTGGGCAGCGCGGATGCAAGAGGAGCGGCTTTCGAGCAAGGGCCAGTCCTTGCCCAAACAATTGCATTGGTAACATGAGGCCGTGAAACCTTGGCCTTTTTCGGGCACATCCAGGAAAGACTTCCGTAGCGGATGTCGTTTTGCAGCGAGTGGTCGCACTGCTTTGCTGCCGACGTATCCCCGGACAATAAGGCGTAAAGTTGTAAAGGGGGGTGAGGGGTCCCAAACAGAGATGCGCGTAGGGGTGAAGGTATGGTAAGTGCCACATCCTCCGGTCCACGCTCAATATCGTTCAATTGTGTGAGTTGCTCGGTGCGCAGCCCAGGCTTTTGGAGGAAGCGACTGCCCTGCGATTGCGCATGAACAGAAACAGGCCTCAGGCACATCGCGCTGACAGAATGTGCTACTTGCATGAGTTTGTCCAAGAAAATCGTAGTACCTGCGGTGAAGGTACGTCGTAGGCAGCCGCCACCATTGCCCAGACAGTATTCAGGACGATGCGCTTCGAGCATGCGCAAGGCAGGGCATCTTACACTCACACTCCGAACAGCCATGAGAGGGGTCGCACCACCACGGCCATGGGCAACTTGAGTAAGCCTGAGCAAGCGTTTTTTTGGGATTTGCTCGCGAAGTGAAAACAGCAACATGCTGCCCCACAGGCAATCCCCGCGCCGGTCAAGTCGCAGGCCTTTGAAGCGAAGGCGAGAGGCATGCAATGAATTGGTCAATAGGTCAACCAGCACAACCCAGTGCAGCCCAGTGCCTCCAACTTCAGGAAGTTCAAGGTATTTTGGTTTTTCAATTTTGTGGTGGATGATGTTCGTAGTGGATGTAGACGGCTCGTACAGTAACAAGATGTATCGAGGAGAACCCCCAAGCCCGCACAGTGGACAAGTGCAAGGCGGAACTGGAAGTTTCGACCTGAGTCGACTACTGGACACATCTGGACATAGTTGCTTTGGCATCAGGTCTTTGCGCCCCCGAGGCATCAGGTCCTTGCGCCCCCCCCCCCCCCCCCCCCCACCCGCAAAAGAGAATAAATTCTGCAGCCTCCGGATCATTGAGGAGAATTGCATGCATGCTGCCATGTATGGCCGTGCCTTGGAGAAGGTGGGGGTTGGTGCTACAGCACCACGTCACGCAGCGGCTGCGGACAAAACGACGGGCTTCACATTTGGGGTTTTGGGTTAGGAGTTTGGGGAAGAAAGTGGACTGCTGCAGAGTTAAATGAGGTGGTCATGAGCACAGATGGCCAGGTTGAGAGCATGATGCTTCTTGGGCCACGACTTGCCCAGTGCAAGACAAATGATACCCTGCAAATGGTAGGAAGGCATGTTGGACCGCCCATTGCACAGACAGCCTTTCTGGGCTTTGCCAGGCAGAGTTTCGGAGCAAAGCGATCAAAGAGCAGAAGGAAGAGGTGCTTTGGATGTACGTCAGGGCTGTGATTGTAATTGTTACTTCTGTGTGCGTGGCCTGTGAAACCAGCTTCGGTCATGGCAATGCATGTTGAGCCACTAAGCCAACGGGTGAGAAGACTATGCTAGCAAAAACTGATACCACATGGACGGCCCAGAAACCATGTACTTTGTAGATCTGTCGCTGGGCATGCCACAGCTGCATGAACGTCTCAGAACATCTGGATGCTTAGGTCGTGCAAGAGTGCAAAAGTCTAACATGTTGGCCGAGGCCGAGGTATGTCGAGGTTGGCGTCCTGGGCATTTCCCCAAACTGTGCGTCAGGCAGCGTTAAGGGGTTCCAATGTCAGGAGTAAGAGAGGCTACGTCGTGGTAGCCGCGCGGCGCCCCCACTGTGGACCATGTTTCTGCTCGAAGCCTGCTCTCCTTTTGGACCAGATCCTCGAGACTGTAGACGCTTTTGGACGTCCCAGCGTTCGGGGTCAGCACTGGTATATTGGTCTTTCTGAAGCAGTTTGACAGGACCCCGCCGCCGCTGCCGCAATAATTAATATCAACAACACGCGGCGAAAGAAAGCAACAAGCCTTCGAAATTGCCACGTCACACCTAAACCTAAGAAGTGCAACTTGAGGTCGCATGTGCGACAGTTTGTGGTGTACCGTAGCAGATCGTAAGTGAGCCAAGCTTCAGTAGCCAAGCTTCAAGCCCAGCTATTGACTGTGTGATGTCAAAGGTGAAGTTAGAAGAAGTGGTTGTCAAGAAAGAGCTCCCAGACGACCAACACCACAAACAGCGGATTCTTGCTTGCACCCGCGTGCAGACTTTCTTCTTTGCCTGCTATCTGAGCTGCCTGCTGCTTGCGCATGCTACGTGAAGGCAATTCCCCATCAAAGGACCAAACACCTCTGAACAACATGAGAGAGGGGCCGCAAGCCTTTCTGTCGAGGCGTCACCAGACTCCAGTCCTGAGCAGCCGGCCAGTAGCAACGCCGCAAAGCGGTCAGGTCAAGGACTTGCAAAGGGATGCGCGGTTAAGTCTAGTGGACTTGTGCATGGTTCGTTGGTAATGAAATATTGGAAGTTAAAGTTTCTGCACCCACGCTAAGTGCTAGTGTGAGTGGGACTGGCAGGAAGAGGAGACGCCAAAAGAACGTGGTAGTGGGGACGACCAAACGCTGGCGTCCTTGATTGCCGCCGACCCCACCAAGCAGAAGGCTTTGGTCTCCCAGCGTGTCTCTGGAAATGCAGGCATCCCTTTTGAAGTCTGCGATTCCGGCACTGACACATTCGCACGTGTTCGGGGCTCTCTTGGAATCCTTGAATTTTACTTGGTCAGGCTCAGGACCGTCACGGCCATCATCCATGAGCGCTGCTTTTGTGGCTTCGGCATGCTTCGGCAACACTTCGTACATTCGGCTCTGACTGCCGTGCCAAGGCTGGCGAAAGAGACCCGCTGTTACGAATGATGCAGTGCCTTTACACTGCCCCAAGCGCAGCAGAAGCAGAGAGGGACCTCTTTCTGAATGTGCGCACCGCAGATGAGGAGGCACGTGATCTTTCGTGACCTGAAAATCGTGGGGTTCTAGGGGGTAGGTACCTAGAAATTTAGGAAGCTTAGGGAGCCTTAGGGAGTACTGGGGAGTATTAGGGAACCTTGGGTTACATACCCCCTTGGAACCCCCCTCCCTTAAGAACTCCCAAACTGTCACATCCTAGCACGCATCAAGCAGGCGCTCCGGAGCTTGTCGCTGAGAACACGCGAGTTTGTTCCAGCCTTCAGCTCAGCAAGCCTTGTATCCATGTCATGGATATGTATTGTGTGACCCATTGAAGAAGCAGACTTTTCCGGTGCTATTGGTTAGTGGCACTTATGCACAACTGCAGACCAGGTGCTGTTTGGCAAGTCAAAATCTAAACAAATCTAGGTAAAGCCGCGTTGTTCTGGTCCTGAAATAGTCGTAAGGACTTGTTGTTCTTGAATTTCTTGATCTGGGGCATTCCCAACATGTTGCCCTGTGAGACAGCGCATGACCGTGGATGCTTGAAGTGTCGAATCTCACCCAAGCTGCATCGAAGGGAAGGCAAAAGGAGATAAACAACTTTCTGAAATAGTGAGGAGTTGAGACAGCACATGTTGAAGTCTTGCATGCTTCCGTTGGGCATATAGTCTCCTCACAACCTCTGTATACATGCGAGCTCACCAGCTCAACCGAGGCGCTCGTTGCATTTCGAAAGAAGGCTGTCGATCGAGCCATATTGGCGCCAGAGAAGCATGTGAAGGCCGACCCTGAGCATGCAGCGTGTCAACGCACGAAGAAGCCAAGAAGCCTCATGGTGAAAAGTTGTCATCGTAGGAGCGGTGAACCTGGAAGTCATGCTCTGTACGCTTACCGGGGCATGCCTCATTGAAAAGATTCATAAAAGAATGCGTGCCATTTAGTCGTGTTCAGGATGTCCACCTGTCGACATGGTGTCGCCAGCAGTATGAAGCGTTCAGTTCTCTTTGCTTGCATCGCTGCTGGGAACCTTGTTTGCGATGCTTGGGGCAGAATATGCTAAAGTCTCTCCGCTCTCCCATCTATTCTCAACTATGCGGTTCCGCCATGCATATTGTTCGTTCATGACTTCGCTCACTTCCTTACAAATTAGTCTATTTATTCATTAGCACGGGCCCCTTTAAGACAAAATACACTGGCCCGTGACGTACCATTCATCTCTCTCACTCTTGTTCCACAGCCTTGTTCGTTCCTTGTTCGCTCAAAGTAATTCAATACGGTTATAAGTTATAAGTGCATGAAATAAGCGCATGAACCGTATTAATATGACTGCGCGAACTCAGTGAACGAAATGATTTTTTCAAGATCCTGTCTCACGGACCAGTTCATGAGAGTACAAATCATGAGTCTTTTTCCCCAATCTTGTTCCTGTTTAAGCGTTCAGTTCAGCTCAGTCCAGCTCATGATAACCTCGCTAAACCTTAAGACCCCAACATCAGGTTCTCCTTCATGACCCAGGATTAGAAACCGGGGCTCACCCACCACACCCTTCATCTTGTTCCTGTCTCAACTGAGTTCACCTGTCATGTTCTTGTTCCTTTCGTACGTTAACCTCTTCTAACCCTTCCATTGGGACCTTTTTCTGTCATCATCTGGACGCACTTTCATCATATTGTTGTTACTGCCTCAAAGGCCCTGTTAACGCCCTGTAAGCCCCTGTTATCACCTTCATGCGTACGTTAACCTCTTTTAACCCTTCATTCGCTTCCTTGTTCACCCATCACGCCTTGAGACCCGAACTTCCATCTCCCGTTTAGTACCTTTTGAACCGGACAGGAACTCTCTTGACAAGGAACCCACCCTCGGTACACAATAACCTCATTTCCTGGTCTTTTCCTTCACGTGTGGTCGCATCACACAGTTGTTCCCGCACTCATAATAACAGCCTTGAGTCAAGTAATACTGGCGGTTAATGAATCCTGGCCCACGGGGTCCCACTAGGGATGCGGATCAAAAACAAATTTATTGAGGATCAAGAAAAATTCATTTAGGATCAAAAACTAATTTATTTTGGATCAAGAAATAATTTATTCTGTTCTTGCGACGGAGAGAGGGAAGGGGAGGGAGGGAGGGAGGGAAGGAAGGGCGGAAGGGCGGAAGGACGGAAGGAAGGCAGGAAGGAAGGAAGCAAGCAAGCAAGGAAGCAAGGCAAGGAAGCAAGGAAGCAAGGAAGCAAGGAAGCAAGGAAGCAAGGAAGCAAGGAAGCAAGGAAGCAAGGAAGCAAGGAAGCAAGGAAGCAAGGAAGCAAGGAAGCAAGGAAGCAAGGAAGCAAGGGAGCAAGGGAGCAAGGGAGCAAGGGAGCAAGGGAGCAAGGGAGCAAGGGAGGAAGGGAGGAAGGGAGGAAGGAAAGGAAAGGAAATGAAAGGACAGGAAAGGATATGTAGGAAAACATAACATAACATCATATGTTATAATATATATATATATGTGTGTGTATATATTTAAAACAAAGTATAACAAAATATTGTAGTGGCATAGAGTAGAATAGAACACAATATCGTACAGTATACCTTTGTATCATAAAAAATATAATAAAATCGAAACAACAAAGCATATATGTATATATTTACTGCTATTTGATGTAGAATTCATAATACACAATACATATTTATTGTTTGTTTGGCGCCGGGCAAGCTTCTTCAACGCGTATGAATCCCTTCCAAACCCATGATGCGAGCATTGTGTTTGCAAATGGGGGGGGGGGGTCTGCGCCCCCCCTTGAAACCCCCCGCTGTTTTTTAAAGCCGGGCAAGCTTGCTTCAAAGCATATGAATGTCCTTTCCAAACCAATGATGCAAGCGTTGTGTTTGCAAATGGGGGGGGGGGCTGCGCCCCCCCCAACCCCCCCGCTGTTTTCTTAGTCCGGGCAAGCTTGCTTCAAAGCACATGAATCCTTCCAATCCCATGATGCGCACTTTTTTGAAAAAAGCATGAAGACACAATAAGATACAATGACATACAAGAATATATTACAAAAAGATGCAATAATATACAATAATACACAAAAAGACAACAACATACAAGTATGCACAAGAATATGCAGCAACATACACGTAAAAAAAGAATAACTTACAATGATTTTCAGTAATTGACAATAATATTCAATAATAGACAGCAATATACAATAATATACAATAATATGCAATCATATACAATAATATACATAAATATACAATAATATACAACCTATACAACCATATATACAATATTTTTCAAAAATATACATAAAAAGGTACAGCAATATAAAAAACACAAAAATGCAATGACATACAACAATCAAAACTCGTGTACAAAAATTACAATAATATACAATCACAGACAATAATATACAAGAATATACAAGATTTACAGAATATACAAGATTTACAAGAATATACTATAATATAGAATAATCTGCAATAAATAATATACAGTAACCTACAAAAAAAGAGAACAATATACAAGAATTTTATACAATAACATTCGATAATATGCAAGAAAATGCAATATTATTCAAAAACACAAGAAATACAAGACAATACAATAATACTCAACAATATATACAACAAACAATGTACACGAATATGCAAGAAAATACAATGTCATACAATATTAGACAAGAATTTCCACAATACTATGCCAGAATATACATGCTTCAGAGTATACGCATGTTTTTGAAACTTCTAATGCCAAGATGCCAGCATTGATTTGCAGCCTCTGCAAACTCAGAAATGCTGCTATTTACTGTATTTCCAGCCTCTGGAATCGCAGAAATGCTGCTATTTTCAGTATTTGCAGCCTCTGCAAGCTCAGAAATGCTGCAGTGTACAGTATTTCCAGCCTCTGAAAGCGCAGAACTGCTGCTATTTATTTACAATATCTGCAGCCTCTCTGGAAACTCAGAAATGCTGCTATTTTCGGTAGTTCCCGCATAAATGCTGTGTTTTTTCGGTATTTAGAGCTCGCGAACGGCCGAAGTGCTGCATTTCTGAGCGTTTACAGCCTCCGCTCCGCTTGCAAGAAGCCTTCGAAGCCTTCAGTAAATTATTTTTTGATCCCAAATAAGTTTTTTTTGATCCGCCTAGAAATAATCTCTGGAAACTCAGAAATGCTGCTATTTTCGGTAGTTCCCGCATAAATGCTGTGTTTTTTCGGTATTTAGAGCTTGCGAACGGCCAGAACTGCTGCATTTCTGAGCGTTTACAGCCTCCGCTCCGCTTGCAAGAAGCCTTCGAAACCTTCAGTAAATTATTTTTGATCCCAAATAAGTTTTTTTGATCCGCCTAGAAATAAATTATTTTTTGATCCCAAATAATTTTTTTTTGATCCCCTACCCGCCCCACTAACCTCTGCATAAATCGCTAGGATCATGCGGGAACCATGAAACCGAGTCGACAATTAGGAGACATGACACGATGCCGCGTGGCATCGTGTTCCAGGCCTTCAACTGCGTTCAAGGACTTTAGAGTTAGAGGCGCGAGGTCAGCGCATGGAAATGAGTTGGTGATGGTGTGTCAATGTGGGTTTCTGTGTACATTGTGTGGAAACTAAACCACAGGTGCGCAACTCTAGTAACCAAGAGCATCGCGATAGTATGTGCACGTGCTTACATCAGGAGACTGCCGGGTTGAACACAAATAGGCCAATGTACGGCAAGGACTTGACTGCACGACGACGCAGTCGCGCATTATTACTCAGAGCAAAAGACCAAGGTCGAGAAAGAGAGAGAGAGAGAGAGCGTGCGCTTCACGCGCGGAGGGCGCTTGCGCCCTTCATGCCTAAAGAAGAAGAAGAAGAAGAAGAAGGAGAGAGCGAGAGAGAGAGAGAGAGATCGTCGGTAGCACAAGTCTCACACCAACAAACTCTGTGACACGTGCCCCTTGGGGCGGCCCCTTCGGGGGGTTAAGCGAGGAAGAAAGAAGGAAGGAAGCCCCGCAACTGGATGCCGCTCCAGACACCGGACGCGCAATTCTCTCCGTGTGAAACCTTGTGCGCCGCTGTGCGCCTCAGACAGCCGTGAGAAACCACGTGTGCGGAAAAGTTTTGGGCGGAACAGCGAAACGGCTGCAACAAAATGCTTCATGACCCGAGGGACCCCATTAGACTGGCCTTTGCAGACAGGTCTCCCAGGAGCTTATCGAGGACAGCGATGGGCAGAATCCTGGCTTATCTGATGTGGGGCAGATGAACCGACACTTGAGCTTCAGACGTGCTGGTGTTCGTACGTTCGCTCAGGAGTAGCAGCATCGATTTTGGGCTTACTGATGTCGACGAATGTGCCGAGTCCAGGCTGTGCAACGACTTTTGAAATCATACCCGTGCGCTGAGCACTGCTGTGCAACCTGTGAGGCAGTCACAAGCTGCCGGCTGGTGCAAATCAGGCAGCGAAAGCGCATGAAAGCGCAGATCGTACCATGTGTCCCCCACGCGTACCATGAGCACAGCCCGCGGTTGATGATTTGATGCTCCCGAAAAGGATGCTGTTGTGCCTTCTCACGATTCGCACTTCCTGCAACGAAGGCTTCAGGCTTCCAGCACACAAACCATCACAAACCTGTCGTACCCTGCAGCATACCAAGTAAGAGATAACCAGCAGGCCTGCTCGAGTACTAGTGGCCTCCAGGCCTACCATAGTTCGTATCGAACAGAAGGGTCGCCGAAAGGCTGATAGGGTCCAGAAAGCATGTCGTGGACACATCAGAAAGGGGCTTCTTGCTTCATCGCTTGCCGTCTTAGAGTTCAAGTTTCCGAGTTCTGAAAGGCATCCTCCGCTACAGGCATGAGCACTGCCTGGACTCATGCCCGAAGCTCGAAAGGATTCTCTGACCTTCGTCGACGACATCTGCAGCGGCACCAAAGGCAGCCCCCGACGAACGTGGCAGGGCAAGTAGCTTGCCAAGACACAGCGTGAGCGGCGTTTTCTCGCTTTCCAGCGAAGTAGCCGAGTGCAGTTCATTTGAGGTGGCAAGCAGCTGCAAGGCTGCTGCCTCAGAAGGAGCCGGGGTGCTGACATGAAACGCACACTTTCGGGAGCATCGGTCCTATGTCACTCTGCCCGGCGAATCGCTTGACCCATCCGCATGTTTTGGTTCTGGAGGGGGGCCGTGGAGGATGTGAGGCATGGGCACTGGAGATCACTAGAGCGTGCCAGGAGCCCCTTCGGCTTCGCCTGCCCCGCTGCATGCTGCTTCAGCTTCGCAGGCTGCGCTTTGCTCCTTTGACACAGGTGATTTAGATTGACCTAGCTATGGGGTCGGGCTTGCGAAGCCGAACTTGTGATTGCGAAAGCTTCTTATGCCCAACACCACTTTGGGCACTTAGGGTTCTGAGGGCTTATCTGTCATCACTCTGTTTTGAAGGTCCCTTGTCCACGTGGCTATCATTTTGCTGTTCGTGTTTCCCATTGATATGCATAATCTATATCTAAATGTTCATCTGGTATCCCCCACTATAAACTAAATGTATATTACACACGCATATATATATATATATATGGTCACCCCCCCCCAATGGACCCACCGCGGGCCTTGATCTTTGCAAAAGTACCGCAAATACCGATAAAACCTATGCTGTCTGGTGATTTTCCGGTGACCGGATTTTTGACTGTATTCCTTAATTCACCCTCTCACACACGCACGGAGGGTTTGTCTTTCTGTTGGCTTTTGTTTATAATTTAAGATCTAGGCATTTAAACCTAAGCCTGCAAAAAAAAACTTAACCTTTAAACCCTGTAGGGTTAAGGTTTAAAGGTTAAGGGTTTAAGATTTAGGCATTTGAACCTATGCCGGTAATTAAAGCTAAGCCCTTAACCTTTAAATTCTATCGGGTTGAGATTTTTAAAGGTTTAGGGTTTAAGATGTAGGCATTTAAACCTAAGCCTGCAACTAATTTTAAACCCTTAACCTTTAAACCCTGTAGGGTTAAAGTTTAGAGGCTTAGGGTTTAATAGTTAGCCATTTAAACCTGTAGCCAAGCCCTTAACCTTTAAACCCTATAGGGTTAAGATTTTTAAAGGTTTAGGATATAAGATGTAGGCATTTAAACCTAATTAAGCCTGCAACTAATTTTAAACCCTTAACCTTTAAACCCTGTTGGGCTAAGGTTTAAAGGTTTCGGGCTTAAGATTTAGGCATTTAAACCTAGTCCGGCAATTTACGCTAAGCCTCTAACCTTTAAACCCTATAGGGTTAAGATATTTAAAGGTTTAGGGTTTAAGTTTAAGGTTTAGGTATTTAGACCTATGCCGGCAGTTCATATTGAACCCTTAACCTTAAACCCCATAGGGATGAGATTTAAAGGTTTAGGATTCTTTACTTAGACATTTAAATCCAAGCTGACGATTCAACCTAAACCCTTAACCTTTAAACCCTATAGGGTGAAGGTTTAAAGTTTTAGGGTTTAAGATTCAGACATTTAAACCTAAGACAACGATTAACACTAAGCCCTTAACCTTTAAACCCTATAGGGTTAAGGTTTAAAGGTTTGGGGTTTAAGATTCGGGCATTTAAAGCTAAGTATGTAATCAATTTGTCACCCTTAACACCTCTAAACTCTGTAGTGTGAAGGTTTAAAGGCTTAGGGTTTAAAAAAACCTAAGCCCCCTAAGCCCATAGAGTTTAAACCTTAAGGGTTTAAGGTTTACGCATCGATTCCTTAACCCTAAACCCTCTAGGGTCAGGACCCTAAAGCCCTCGGCAATCAAGCCTAAACCCTTGACCTTCAAACCCCATAGGATGAAGGTTTAAAGGTTTGGGGTTTAAGACTTAGGCATTTAAACCTAGAGGGCATTTAAGCCTTAATCCTAAACCCTTTAGGGTCAGAACCTTAGCACCCTATGGGGGTCTAGCACGTTCAAAGGCTTGAACCCTACAGGCGCTGAAGGTATACATGTCCTATCGGTTTTTAAACCATTACACCCTGTAAGAAGGTTTAGGGTCTTTTCGGGGTCTATCTCTAAATTTCTCACGGGGTTAACCCTGCAGGGTTTAAAGTTAAAGGTTTAGGGTTAAAGGTTAAGGCAATACCTATAGGATTAGAACCTTATAACCCTGTAGTGCATGAGGCTTAAACCCCTAAAACTTAACCATCTTTTTCTCGAGAAAACCAAAAAAACCAAAAAAAACAAAAAAACCAAAAAAACCAAAAAAACCATCTTTTCCAAAACTATGGGGCTGGGGCCTCCAAAAGATGGTTTTTTTGGTTTTCTCGAGAAAAAGATGGTTTTTTTGGTTCGAAACCATCTTTTTCTCGAGAAAAAGATGGTTTTTGAGCAGCCGCTCTTCGAAAAACCATCTTTTCCTCGAGAAAAAGATGGTTTTTAGAGATCTTACCCTGGAAAAACCATCTTTTTCTCGAGAAAAAGATGGTTTCCGGAGGTCTTGTCCTGGTAAAACCATCTTTTTCTCGAGAAAAAGATGGTTTTTGGAGGTCTTCTCCTGGTAAAACCATCTTTTTCTCGAGAAAAAGATGGTTTTTCGAAGGATGGTTGCTCAAAACAATCTTTGTCTCGAGAAAAAGATGGTTTCGAACCAAAAAACCATCTTTTTCTCCAGAAAACCAAAAAAACCAAAAAAACCAAAAAAAACATCTTTTCCAAAACTATGGGGCTGGGGCCTTCAAGAGATGGTTTTTTTGGTTTTCTCGAGAAAAAGATGGTTTTTTTGGTTCGAAACCATCTTTTTCTCGAGAAAAAGATGGTTTTTGAGCAGCCGCTCTTCGAAAAACCATCTTTTTCTCGAGAAAAAGATGGTTTTTGGAGATCTTGTCCTGGAAAAACCATCTTTTTCTCGAGAAAAAGATGGTTTTTGGAGGTCTTGTCCTGGTAAAACCATCTTTTTCTCGAGAAAAAGATGGTTTTTGGAGGTCTTGTCCTGGTAAAACCATCTTTTTCTCGAGAAAAAGATGGTTTTTGGAGGTCTTGTCCTGGTAAAACCATCTTTTTCTCGAGAAAAAGATAGTTTTTAGAAGAGCGGCTGCTCAAAAACCATCTTTTTCTCGAGAAAAAGATGGTTTCGAACCAAAAAAACCATCTTTTTCTCGAGAAAACCAAAAAATCCATCTTTTGGAGGCCCCAGCCCCATAGTTTTGGAAAAGATGGTTTTTTTGGTTTTTTGGGTTTTTTGGATTTTTTTGGTTTGTTGGTTTTTGTTAGTTTCTTGTTTTGTTGTTTTTTGCCTTGATCTGGCTAGGACTCGGCTGCCATCCGCGGTGGGTCCATTGGGGGGGGGTGAGCTTATATATGTATATATACATACATGAATAAACAAAGATCACTATGGATTGGATAGTACCATCAATAGTAAGTTTCCAATTATATGTTATTTATATAATTCATACTCCAATCAACTGTACCCAGGCATAATTTCTGTTTGATTTTAAACAAACAAGCAATACCTTTTGCAGTTACCAACTTAGCCGGTACACTTGAATGTGGAGAATGTTCTTTATACTGATAATTTAAATCGAGACCAGGTTGTCTGTTGATTGGTGCTTATTGGTTGGCGGCCGTTGGTTGGTGTGTTGTCGGGTGGCTGGTTGGTTGTTGACTGGTTGCTTGGTTGCTTGGTTGCTTGGCGGTTGGCGGATGTCGATTGGCTGTTGTTGGTTGGCTGTTGCTTGTTGGTTGGTTGGTTGGTTGCTTGGTTGGTTGGGTGTTGCTGGTTGGCTTGTTGTTGGTCCCCCGCTGGCCTGGTGGTGTAGTGTCTCTGGGCGCCAGGCAAAGCCTGAACCAGAAGGACCTGCTGCAAGGTGCCCCTTTGCGTGCCATTCGGTTCCGGCATTTCGAATCGATTCCTCGCACTTCAGGCAAGCAGAAATCGCCAGACGGCGCAGTGAGGCAGAGCTAGTCACAGTCCAACGCCAAGTCCGAAGCACACAGTTCGTGGCAGCTTGCTCAGGATTCTTCCTCATTTCTTTTGGGAAGCAAGCGCCAGAAGCTTCTCAGTTGCAGATGCGTTCAATCAAAGCATTTAGGTTTTGCGTCCTGGTTCTGCTGTTGGGGCGCAATAAGGTTGACCAGCTAGTGGACGGAGTCCTGCAGACAGTCTGCTTTCTTCGTCTGCAACCTTGGACCTGTGCCGGCACTGCGCGGCGCAAAATTCGTTGCACCATTGCGGGTGCCGACTTCAATCGTAGATTCAATACATGCCTCAAGCATATGAAGCATACCACAAGAGCGTCCCTGTGAGGCGGAATTGTCTCTGCGTGCGTCGGCTTGTTGGGTTGTTTACTGCAGGGTGTGCTATGCAGTGTGACAGCGCGATCATGAGCGGACAGCTCTCTAGCAAGCTGTGCGCAACAGTGCGACACACATGTGCCAAAGGCATTGTGACCGCGCATGATTGATTGATAAAAGGCCGTCACACGCGACTGTTGCAGGCGCGGCTCATGCGAGGACACAAGCTTATGACTTCATCGAGCGGCAGTCTAATTGCCGCAGCTGTTTCCATATGAGTCGAGGCGAGAATGCGAATCCTGGACAGGGGGCCTCACATGCAGTGTGTGTGCAGAGAATGGAACCATCAACTGAGCATGAATCTACATGTGAAGCAACAACTTGAAATCGAAACAGGGTTCCGCAACGTTTGATGGCACATCCCAGAACCCCAGGCCAGACCATACCAGTCGTGAAACGCTAGCACGTTTGTTGAATCGATGCACAATCTTTGCGGTTGTTTAACAGTTGAGTGCTGCTCATGCTCCACATGCGAAGCATCGCCCAGAGACCACGGAGCCTATTGCTTTCAGTGACGATCTCAGTGGATATGCTGCCAGAATCTTCGGCCAGAGGTATTACGCTGCTGGTCCTGAGGCCTGTGCGCTGGCTGCACTATCCGCGGCGCTATCCGCGACATCCTTCGGTTGGGCGGCTGCTGGTTTCGACCCAGGGCCTCCAAGGGCGAAGCCTTCAAAGTCGGTCAAGAAGCTCAAGAAGCTCGCCCAACAGGTTGAGAACCGTCGCACCACAGAAGCTAAATAACATAGGGCTTAAGCCATGCAAGCCTCTGCCAGGAAAAGCCGCGGCCGAGGTTTTGGACCAGCACCTGCAGCTAGCGGAGCTAGCGCTGGCCCTGTTACCAGGGAGGAGAAGCGAAGACAACAGCGGTTGGGCAAGGACAGGGACATTGTGCATCATTGTGTTATGAGCCTTTGCCGGCTCGGTATATCAGTTCCTTCTCGCGAACTTCAGAATGCAGGATCCGTCGATGAACGATGCCAGAAAGATCCTCCTCAGCCAGATGGCCGAGCAACGGTTTGCTGTCGGAGAAGTCGACGTGGATTTGGTGATCCCAGCATATGTTCGGACCTGAAGTTTCACAGAGTCTCGTGCATCCAGTGTGCACTTTTTGCTCACTGCAGCTCTGCCTGCTTTATCTGCTTTCCACCTTTCCAAAGGTCCTTGATCTCAACCGTTTTGCAAGAGAAGTGGAATCTGGAGCCGGCACTGTGTCGGACATTGTTTGGCTCCTCGGCAAAAGTGCCCAGTAGGACCCGGTAGGGCATTTTCATCCACGGTGTTTCAATGCACATTAGCTGCGCACATGGTCAAGTTGAAAAAGGCGGGCTTGAAACTGAATCACCCTACTGGGCGGTCCAAACGCGCTCCTCCCGTGGCAGTCCGTGGCAGCGGCTCCAAAAACATGTCCTCCAAGAACGCGGAGCTTGCAGACCTTCTAGCATTCGATCGCGAATGAACATAGCTGGGCAACGCACCTAGACCTATCCTAGGCTGAAAGTCGAAACCCGAAAGCTTGCGAGAGCCGAAGCTAAGCCAAGCATGCATCAACCCAACACATCATCGTCAGATTGGTGCTGTGCGTTGCAAAAGAGACGCTGCTCGCCGAGCTGCAGGGAGCAAAGGCAGATTTGTGACTTGAACTACGCCCATGTTCTGAGGCCAGCAGAGCAAGTTCTTGCACAAACTCTTTTGCAGAGGCACCCCACCCATCTCTTTTTAATTTGGTGATATTGATAGTGCAGACGACATGGAAAATGCTACGATGATAGGAAGGAACTTTGGCAAGCTCGTGGTCTTTGTGAGATTGGAGCCGGACTGGGGTTGGCAGGCCTGCACCCTGCTTCCCGCCCTGCAGTCTTTTCGTATTCTGGTGTGACTTGGTCCACGTCCTCAAATCCGAGATGTTTGAGGCATCTCATCTCAGGCATCTCTGATCATCCCTGTCTTTGTCTTCTTCACGCCCAACCAGTCAAAACTTGTAACACGAGACCAAGAGCATTCAAAGGTCATTCTCGATGCATTGGAACGGGGAGGGGGGAGGGGGGCGGGGGCGGGAAACTGAGGCAACTCCAGGGGATTTGGGTTTGCGGACTGGTTGCAATGCTACTTGTACGCAGGCATCGCAGCGGCCAAGTCTGGGGCGCCGCATGTGCTCCTCAGCGACAGGGATGCCCTGGCCTCGCGTTTGCACTAAGCAACTATTAAGTCACTAAGTCACTAAGTCATTAAGTCACTGTCCACCTCTAAGCAAAGATTTCCCAGGACTCCTGAATCCTCAAGTGATGAGCGGTGCTTCGATCGTTCAGGTTTTGGACTTGTCGCCGCTTGGCTTACTCAGTTTGCACGCATGGTTCTGGACGGCTGTGCTGCGCGCGATCCACCGAGGAAGCAGTCAGCCCAAAGAAACGGAGTTGCAGAAAGGGTGAGCCTGGGCGGAAGTTTGATACGTCCACTCGGCAGTTAGTGAACATCACAATAAAGGCCAATGTGTCTTTCATCGTGTGAAGGACCTTCGCAGCTTTCGATTGGTCAGACAAAGACAGCTGGCCAAAGCCTTTCGGTGGGATGACAGCTGCAGCCGATGTGCTGCGGCTTATCTTCACTTGGGTGTTAGGCATTCGGCCAATGTTGGCAGACTTCGACAGATTGTGCTCCTTGGAGATTTCACACCAGCTTGTCCAAGGCTAAGCTTCGGTCATGTTTTGTGGGCCACTTCAACTCTTGCTCACTGATTTCGGAATTCCCAAAACCCGTAGAGGAGTCCATGCTACCGAAAATGGATACGAGTGCATGAGTGTGCATGAGTTAGTGGGCACATGCGGGCACCCCTAACCCCGGACCTGTACTCTAGGTTTAACATGAACGCAAATGAGCTGGACGTTTTAAACATCATCAAAAGCGAAGCTCACGAGCTTCAGGAGAAACACGAAGCTCACGAGCGGCAGACTTCAGGCTTCAAGCAAGAAGATCGCGGGCTTCAATCTTCAAAAGCGAATGAAGCTCACAAGCTTCAGACTTCAGGCGAAGCTCACGAGCTTCAGAAGATCCACCCGTTTTTTGTGAACCAACATGAGCGGACCGAATGGTAATGTGACAGTAACGTGAAATTTCACATTGAAATTGCACACCCCAGCCCAGCCATATCCTGGGGAGGGCCGCCTGCACATCCGCAGAGTTTTCTATTCACCTAAGCAACCAAGTCCACTATATAGTTAATTAAATGTTTGGATCGCATTAATACCAACACCCACCTGCCCCCCCCTAATGCCCCCCCTTTCCCCCCTTCACAATGAAGTGTTTCTAGGGCACATGGAGTTTATCATTGCCACCCGTTTATTCACTTCAGGGGCATATATGGGCCGATAGGTGCGTTTAATCCATATATGACGCAGATTCGACTGCAGTCTGTGCCTGCAGCAATTGGGAGCTGTGGCGTTTTGCAGTAAGTCTTTTTGATGGCCTTTGCGCGTGTGTGCAAGCCACGCCGGAGTTGCAAAGATTTATCTTGAGGTTCAAGTGGCCCCAGAACCCAGTAGAATTTCTACGCATTTGGTCTTCGGATCCACTTTGTGGAAACACAAGTGCTAGTAGCAGAGTTTACTTGGAGATTGCTAGAGTGCAATATGGGGCAGGCCATGCGAGAAATCCGCTAGGTATGACAAGCAAGTCGTTGCGTGGCTCGTGGACCTGATTGTTCACTTTGCTGGGCCTGCTCTTCTTGTCGAAGCTTGGAGCTGCAAGTGCTCTCAAAGCAGCCCCCAACTGAGGGCTCAAGGATGGTGTTTCCAAGAATCTCTCTCTCTCTCTCTTTCTGTCTCGGCCAAGGAGCCTGACAACGTGGAAAGGCGGCAGCTTGGCTCAGTGCCATACTTCGAGGAGAACGCGACCCTGCAAGCGCCAACGCTTACGTTCAATTTGTGCAAAATTGTGGTCCAAATAGTGCGCATGCTCATCCAGGCTTTCTGCAAGAGGCTTCTAATCACGAGAGCGAGCTCCGCCGGAGCTCTAGCGGCCGCTTTGGTCTGCGAATTAGATTTTTGAGTGGGTTGATTGGCTTGACCCCCTCAAGCCCAGCGGGGCGCGGGGGGTGTCCCCATGACCGTGGTCCGCCTTCCCGCCTCCCCAGCAAAACAACCTGGTCGCGTGTGCCCTCCTGGGCGCACTTTCAAGCGATACTTGTGGGAGGCTCGTACCGGCGCTGCGTTGCCCATGGCTGCCATTGCCCGCTATGAAATCTCGGATTCTTGCAGAGGTCACACTAAAGTTGGCATTCAAAACAAAATGCTGACTACTATCGGAAGTTGGCTGACCCTCATTCATGGCAACGTTCATCAGATGGAAGGCTTACTTTGAAGCATTCTGTGCCATGAAATACTGTTGCCATATGTAGCATTCTCCACTCGGTGCTAGGCACATGTACTTTTCCAAAAGTAGCCAGTAGTGAGGCCAGAAGCAGATTGAACTTTGCGCAGAGGAGGTGGCGCGCTCGCGCGGGTTGGCGGTCACGACTGAGAGCCTTGTCTGGTGTTACTGCTGTTACCGCCAACGTTGGTATCAAGGGGTTAAGACTCGTAACCCCTAAGGTTTGTACCCCTACAGGTTCCCCCCCTAATCTACCCCTAATATGGCCCTTATACGACCTTCAGGATCTTTAAACAGGGTCCCCCAAACCCCGAATGCAACCTTAAGGGTCCAAGGTACAACCCCAAAATGGTACTTAAGAGTTCGGAATGATTTCACATTCGCAGGTCTTTCACACTTTCCTCGTGGGGTTGCGGGACAGGTTGCCTCTGCCAAGCAAGCAGGTCACACTCCAAAGCCAAGCCCTCTCACATTCTTCAATGACTGAGCCCTGCAAAAGTTGCTGGTAGGGCATCAGAAAGACGAACACGAAAGTTACAAGCACATTGCACGCACAAGCAGAGATCGAAGTTGCGGGCGGTGGTGTGCTGTTTGTCCAGGAGCTGTCTCAATCCGTCACAGCCATCCTCACCAATGCTCCTGATCTCCATCAACCAGGCTGCTGAACAGTTTCGACTGAACTTTTTCGGCTCAGCCATGACTTGTTCAGGCGGTGGACACGTCGAGGTGACCTGAACAAGTGCGCATGTGAAAGAGAGAAAAAAGTGTGCGTTCCAAGACCAATATGCGGCTATTCCGTACATGTTGGTGCCTGCGAAGCTGTAGCTCGACCGCTTTGCCGCTTTGCCTTCAATTTGCGGCTGCAGCTGCGCAAAGCTCATGGTCCTGTTCCGTGCTCTTCCATGACGGACTGCCGCCCCGGCTCGTCATGCTAAGCGCTGTGTCACGCCAGCTCATAATTCTGCCAGGCCGTGGATTGTCAGAAGATGAGGCCAAGATGCTTCTTGAGCTGGAGCTGCTTGTGCGAAGCCTAGAGTCCTAGAGTCGAGAGATCTCGAGAGATCACCGGCCCTGGGAGCGCCGAGCGAAAGCACATGCCTTGCAGTCCATAGTCCATGACGCATCATGACACATCATGACACAGCCGTGGCCAAGGCAGCTGGTGCAACATTTGCAAGCGTGCCGAAGATATTGTCGGCTCGAGACGATCCACAGGCTGGAGTTTAAACATGCTCTAAGTCAAGCATGTCCGCATGACTACCATCAATGATTGTGTTGCTGCGGTTTTCTTCGCAAGGAGCGCTCGAGGAATCGCAGCAGATGGCTTAGCACAACTTGTGCTTGCAGATGGGGCGTGATGGGACTAGTGCTCTACCTTGAGTTTGGAATCCTGCTGGGCTGGCCTTGGCCGGCAGCACGACATGTTTGCCCTTGGCTGGTAGGAAACCTTGGCAGCCGAATGCGGGCAGTGAAAGAGGAAGAGGACGGGAGATGCTTGAAATTCCTCATCTGCTGTCACGCTCAAAGCATGTGGCATGATGCCTTGGCAGGAAAGCAGTCCGCAACCAACGACTTGTGCTCAGCCTGTAGAATTCCAGTTTGTTTCTACGCAGCGTAGGCCACGCAGCTGCTCCAGGTGCAGCAATTGATTGTGTGGAGAAGACTTGAAGTTGCGGGATGGGGCACAGAGCGCGTTCAGAGTTAGTGAGAAGCAGAGCCTCAGATTCACAATGATCATTCAACATGTGCGAACAGTAGACACAAACTACAAGGAGCTTCAACATAGAAGTGGAGTATGAAGCTGATTGGACACAAGAGGAAGCTGAGGGCCAGGTGCTCAGATTGTGACAGCATGTGCTTGGTCTGGTGCTTGGTAGATGCTAACGAACTTCAAGGTTCCAGCCTACGCCCATCAGAAATTGACCGGGGCTGAGATGCAAACACAAGCAAATGAAGTAGACTTCTCAGTTTGGCACCAAGTTCACGAATTTGAGTAAGGTGTGCCCCGATCCCAGTGTTTTTGATAGGAGGACATTGTGAATGTTGGCCACCTCGTCTGTCGCTTTGGCTGGCTCATGCTGGCTCTACGTTGTCCTTTGACAGTCCCCATTCCCTTCTCCAGAATTAGAGCACAGTCTGATATCACAAGGTTCACGGTTGAACAGAAGTTGGGTCGCAACATTCGAGGAAATGATGCAGCCAGGACGATCACACAATGTTGTGAATGCGACATGTTGGGGTGCCCCTAGTGGGGGGTTTGACGGGCAGTGAGTCTGCGCGAGGGAAATTAGGCAAGAATCTGCAGAAGCCCAGACTGCCTAGTTGGCAGCCTTGCAGCAGCCAGCCTTGCAGGCTTGGCACATTAGTCGGAGGTGTGATAGGGTTGGTTCAGTCTCAGTGCCTGAGGGGCGAGCCATCTTCTGCGGCAGCAGCGATGTCAGCACTGCGACTTCCAGCACGCATCCCATTCTGCAAGCTTGGCAGCCCCCTCGGTTCCAAGATTGTAGGAGAAGCTTTGGAACCACTTTTGAGGCGGGGCATTGCCAGAGGACCTGCAAGCTGCGGCCTAAGTCAAGTCTGACACATCCGATACAGATCAAGACGCCATGACTGTGAAATATTCTGAAATCAATGTTTCTTGTTGGCTGCGGGAACTGGCAGCACCTCAGGAAGGACTTGATGCGGAGGAGGAGGAGGCTGCCGATCTCGAGTGCCACCAGCAACATGTCCACACCATGCGTGCAAATCACCCGAAAAAGCTGCCACAAAGGTCCTAAGCTGCCAAACGCCTCTAAATTTGGGAATAAGTTTGGGGGATTGGGGCTGTGCTCCATCTCTGGAATCAGATGAAGTCAAGCTTAGCGAATGTCGGCGGATGGCACTTCCCACCAGACCAGTCTGCACAAAAACGGGGCACAACGAACAACGTAGAGCCATAGAGCTGTTATTGTCATGCCCCTCACGGCGAGGCATATTTCCGTCAGCAAGAGCTGGCAGGCCGCGAATGAAGTCACGGCTGCTGCAGAACTCTGCAGTCTCCAAGTAACGAGTTTGGCTGGAAGGTCCGCGTGACAGGAGAAGCTAGGTGCTCAGAACGATAGGGCCTATAGGGCAGCTGTGGCACAAATCATCTCTGGTGACGGCATTATACGGCATTGGTTCAGTGTCGTTGGATCATATCGCGCCCTGTCGGCTTTAATAGCATGTGTTTGTGCGTGTGTGCTCCTCACTCCACAGAAGCCAGGTCGCTACGTTTGCTATGCTATGATAGATTCTTCGGACAGGTTCACACACACAACACTGCAGGTGGTCCTCACATGTCCTCACTCTTAAGTGCCTTCGTAACTGCCCTGTGCCGAGTCCGCAAAACCCTGAGCCATGGTTGAAAAGGCGGCACTGACGCGGCTTCGGCGCGAGTATGCCATAATCCAGCAATCCCCGAAAATCCCACATATCGTGGCCAGACCATCGGAGACGAACATCTTAGTGTGGAACTTTGTCTTGCATGATCTGCCGGTTGAGACACCATATCGTGGAGGTGTGTATGAAGGGAAGCTTGTTTTTCCGCGAGAGTATCCCCTCAAGCCGCCGGCCATCTACATGCTCACACCATCGGGCAGATTTGATATCAATACGAGATTGTGTTTGAGCATGTCAGATTTTCATCCAGAGAGCTGGAATCCGTCATGGCGAATTGAATCAATTCTTGTGGGCTTGGTCTCGTTCATGCTGGACCCGAGTGAGCCACGCACAACTGGCGGCATGCACACATCAGAAGCGAAGCGTCGGGAATACGCTCGGGCATCGTTCGGTTTCAACACTGCTCGGCCAGAATTCCGCGACCTTTTCCCAGAGTTCTGCGATGAGCAGAAGCGCGGTGGGGATGGGCTCTTCTCCCTTTGCCCCGATGCTTCCACTCTTTGCCCCGCCGCCTCAGGAGAAGCGACCGGGCCGACGAATCCGGCGGGGAAGACTACACAAGCGGACAAGGCGCGGCCTCTGGCAGAGAGTTGAACAAAAACTCACTTCTGTAGTGTTGGAAGAGGATGCCCCTGAGAATTCACTGTTGAGCGCCTGACTGCCCTTGTTATAGTGCGTAGACCTGCTTGACTAGCAATGATGGGGTAGATATCGGACAGTAGATAGATCACAATAGACACAAAAAAAGTGACAAAAATCATTCCTGGCAGTGCACGGCAGGAAGCCAGAAGCCAACAAGTACAAGCACAAGATCGCGAACCACCAAAGCCCAATCTGCCAAGACTGCTGTTGGCCTTTTCGGTCTTCGTGCTCCTTGCATCTTACTTCGGATCGAATCTGCGACTGCAGCGGCGATAGGATGGGCTGACTGGACAGAATCCGTCGGTGGCGAGGGCGGGCAAGCCATGTGCATTTTTGTAAAGAATGCCTTGTTTCTCGATGGCACAGGGTAGGACGGTAGGACATCATCCGTAAGAGCGTTTCAACCGCGAGCAAAATGGCCGTGTGGCAGTGTCCAGAAGTGCTGGCGAAAGGGGCCTCAACAGGTCTTCTGCATGCCTCTCGATGCATGGCAAGTGTCTCAGGTCGAAGATGTAGCCATCATCGCGCATCTCAGGACACTCATTTCATTGAATTTCCCGCGCAGAACAAGTGCTTGAAAGCTGCAGATTATGCCAGGAAGGTCTTGTTCAAGATATGCCAGGCTTGGCACTTGCATCCTGTATCGTGCTTGACTCGCGTGTTGCCAGTGCTGCACTGCAAAGACTCTTCAGCTGTCGGTGCTCTGTCCGGGCAGGCCACAGTTCGCATGCCACTCTGCCGGCTCAACCTCAAATCAGGATTCTGGTGCCGCCCTCGAGTCGCCCTCGGCAGCAAGGCACTTGCAACTCAAGCGAGACCTCTGTTCCGTCAGTGTTCCGTCATGCCTCATCATGTTTCGTCACTGCATCGGCAGGCTCAGACCGGTGTCACGTGTTGAATCGTGTTGACACCTGCCCTCGATTTAGCCCCTCCGCTCCTTGTTTCTGTAGTCGGCAGACACGTACAGAGTTTGGGCCGAGGGGGGGGGGGGGGGCGCTGAGGGATATGCCGCACGTGCCGGGCCTGCAAACAAGCATAAGCACCTACACCAAGTTGCATCGAGTTCTGAAAACTGGACGCCGCTTGAAGAAGAAGGCCTCCGAAAGAGTAGAACCTAGCATTCGCATGCCGCCACGTCACCGCAAACGCAATTAGCATCGAGACAGAATTGCTGTGGAAGCTTGACTACCGACGTAGTTCTTTTCTCTGGGCGTGCCCAGGGGCTCGAGTTGCACTGCACGGCACTGTGCCCACTTGACAACACTGCCTGCCAAATGTGCTCTCATAAGGCACTCAGAGCTAAAGGCACTAAATGCCCCCGTGGGGTTCTGTTTCTTGTGTCTGGGTCGTGAGCGCAATCGAGGGGATTTCAGCAGGGACCTCTTGAACACGCCTGGCCTGCCGAGCGGGTCGAAAGTTGCAACGTCGACCGACACACAGGGACTACGAATTGAATTGCTAACGTGATCCAAGGGCTGTGCAAGTCTTAGGTACGAAGTCATTCAGAAGGCGTGAATTTCTTGCACACCGACAATCTAGACTTGAAACGCTCCCAACAAACCGTCGCAGAAATGCTGAACTGGTCTTGAACTTCTGCATTGTCGGCAGGAAACAGCACTCAACGATGTTGAACGTGATCTTCTGCAGATCCTGAGAACAATGTATCGCGACAAGTATTGAGGTGCGGTCGACTGCTGCGGAGTCGAAACCGTGTGAGGAAGAGAAGCCATCCAAGTCTCATTCTAAGTTTTCCTTGGAAGTCTTAGAAAGCTTAGAGTCGGATCAAAGACTGACGCTCGCCATTCTCAGGAATTTGACATTCCATCACAAGCAAGAAGAGGATCCGTGGGTTGCAGGTGCAACGTATATTTGCGAAGCACTCAAGAATGTGAATCTTGGCACTTTGTACAGGCTTGGACCCGTGGGCTGCTGCAAAGCTACCACGCAGCACACAGAAGGGCCAAGGATCGGTGCCAAGTGCGTCTTCAGAGGATGCGGAGAGTGGAGAGAGTGCCTTTTGAGGACGTGCGTCTGGAAGCTCTGCCAAAGGAGGCCCGAACCGTGCCATAATGTGCCTGTGACGAGTGGGATGTAGGGCCAATGTAGGGCAGCGTGATGATGTCTCTTCCAGGCCGCCGGCGAGGCGGCCGTGAGTGAGCCAGGCGACGTGAGCAAAGCAGCAAAGCATGTTGTGAAAAGGCCCATCCAGCAAGCACGCTACCAATAGCAGGCAGATTCCATACAGTTGTGAAATGCTGTGGCCGAACGTGAACGTGTGTGTGTGTGTGTGTTTGCCATGGGAATGCACGCATGGGCAGCACGATTGCCCAATCCAGCCAGCGGCGATAGCAATGGAGGTCTTAGGTGCCAGGGCCTGCCCATGCCGCTGTTAAGAAGTCGGATGGATCCATGAGCGGCCGACGCTTGTCTGATGGCTTTCTGAAACGTGTTGCTCATATATGCATGGACTGCTTGACCGTGCACTGCCAGAGCTGTCTTAGGCAAGCGGCTGAGTGTGCAGATTGCAGCGAGCTCAGGGCACATAGCATCCAGGTCCCTTCTCTTCGGGATTACTTTCATCCCGCACCATAGGAGATGATAGATCAGTCATGATTGGGGCGACGGGCCCATGTCGCACATGTATTCCATTGAGGTTCATGGCATGTGTTGACTCAGGTTCCTAGCGATGATGCGCCGGAACCGGAATCGCCAAACGACCTCGACGTCCAGAAGTCACTGAAGTCATTAAAGTCGCCAAGGAACGATGGTAATTCCACTTCTCGCAGCCCAGTCAGCCCAGATGGTCGAAGCCCAGGCTCGAGAACGTTTCCTAAACCTTTGCTGAACCTTTGCTGAAGCTTGCACCGGCACTTCTGAACCTGTGTGAAAGGTGATAAAGGTGAAGCATCACGAACTCGAAGCCGTGGAGTAGCAAGGAAGCAAGAAGATCAAAAGAAGCTGTGCATGTCAAGTATTGTACTGGAATCAGCTCTTGCTCCGCCTTGCTGCTTTGCCTCTGCTGTGAAATGCTTCTGCCATGTTCTTGTGTTCGCGCACCAGTTCTTTGGTGTTTCTCGATACTACATGCAAGTAGGATGCCAACAGCCGGTGGCCGAGGTCGACGATAATCTGGCAACGGTGATATCTCGCAAGTCAGCCTTGGCGGGAAACGGAAAGCCTCATTTCCACAGGCAAGATGCGACAGGGTGGAAGCTGTGCGCGCCATTGTTGTCAATGTCATGTTTGCGCTGCACCTGCTCACATACTCTCACATCTATTCTGACCCTCTGCTTGGCTTCAGACAAGTATGATACGATCTGTGCAGGTACTCGCTGTTCGCATCGCTTTTTGACATACGGGCTGCTGTTCCGGCGGATGAGGTCAGAAGCTGCGAAGTTTGCGTTCTGAGATAAATATGATGACCAAATTGCTGTGCTTCCGTTCTGAAGGTTCCGAGGTTGCTGGATCGCCAGGGAACCATGTTGACAACTTCGTCGGTGGAGTCGACCATATGCGCTTCGAAACTTCGTCAAAAACCCTACGTATCTGCACCTTGAGTTAGTAGTTGAGATCACGAGACATGCTGGGGAGGTTCGCAGTGGGACGCCAGAGTCAGCCGATGCATCCACTGCGCGTCAGTTTTATTGTTGAGTTTCCAAGGACACATCGCTGCAAACGAAGACTTGATGCTTGTCTAATTGATGCTGCATCACCACTCCATGCTAACATGGACGGACCATGGCATCCGGACCCGAACCCGAACCTCCCCACCCCCCTAATGATGAGCCCGAACCGGAACCCAAAAGCCGGAACCCGGAACCTGGCAAGCCTGGAACTTGGAGATGTCGACCTTGGGCCCTAAAGTTGTGAGTTTCGCATTTGGTGGTGGTTGGGTCGAGGATTAGGGCCCGTGGTTGAGTCGAACAGCCGGTGAATGGAAGTGCGCCTCGAATAGTCGTGCGGGGTGGATTCTTGACCAGCACCACCAGGATGAGTGATCGCTTGCAGTGCGTGTGGCAAAAAAAACACTCCGAACACCCCCCGCAGATCTCCTGAACCCGAACCCCGAAAGGCCAGCTGCGGCCGGGCGCTGGTCAGAATCGAGTCTCGAGTACATCCTCTCTGCTTTTTTAGTCCCTTGGGAGGAGTTCATGGCTCTAATTATAAGTTGATCGTGAACCTTGTACCACAACATGCTCACGACGTTCTTCAGCGGCATTCCCTACAAGCAGTCCCCGAACCCAAACTGGCAAAATGAATAGAGCATTGCAACCATGACCACGCCCTGTGAACTGTTGCCGCGACCTCTTCAAACACTAGCAGCATCTTGTTGGTGGTGCCGGCCAGACAGCTGTTTGATGTGGTTTGTGTTGCATTGCAATGTGCAATAGTGCCGACCGCCACTGTCTGCCTGCACCGAAGGTTTGCTGGTTGGCCCCTTTGCGCTCTCGTTTGAGTCCGAATGCAGACCAGACGAGCGACCCCTGATGTTTTGGGGCAAGCTGCTCCACTTGGTATTTGGGCTTATACAAGATAGACCCATGCAATTGATGTTGTTTTCCTAGACTTGACCCATGCTGCGGTTTCCAACTGAGGTCTCAACTCTGGCCTATTTGCTTTTCGCTGTGCTGCACTTCATATACTCTCCACTGAATCCATGGCCAGAGTTGTGGAAGCAGAGAACAGCCAGGCCAGGCTTTGCGAGCATCCAGTGTGCATCAGCTATCGCTTCCCTTTCCAGCTTTTTGTGACGATGTAGCACATGCCTTGATTGTCTTCAACAGACGTGTAGAGGCACGAGTCTCCCGACTCTGGTTCTCGACTGTCAAAGCTGTCAAAGCACGTTGCTGAAAGATGCTGTTGCCGTGGGCACACACACAAGCCACGAGCTTTCTCCGCAGCATGCGCGTTTGCCTCATAGACCACATCTCCTTACCACGCCCGGGTGCAGC